AGAATGGCCCCACATGGGCCTCTACTCTAGGGCTTCGCTGTGTAGTTGTAGCCAGCATCCTTGCAAAGTATACCCTTTGGTACCCAACATGAAAGTCATCAACACCTTATTTCCTGTATCCATGGAAGAGGCTGATGTCTCCAAGGATCCATTGTGAGGGGGCCATCCTGCACCCCATGGAAGAGCTTCATGTCTCAGAGCCCAGTGTGAGGGACCAGCTGTCATTCATGTCGTATGTGTCAACAGTTTATTCCATCCCACAATACATCATATGATTTTGATTCACATGGCTACTGGGTTGTTTCAGATTTCAGCAGTTGTTTGGAATATTCTTCTGCATGTCTAGGTGAGCAGGACAACACTGGCCTATGGTGGGTACATACCACCCTGAGGACCCTGGAAAATATGTACCATTTTCCATATTGGACAAGAGTGGAGAGTCCAGCTCCTTTAACATTATCGGCAGAACCACTTGGCTCATCTGCTTCTTCTTGGGTGAACTTTGCAGGCTTGTGTCTCACAAGAGTTTTATCCATTTCTTCTGAGTTGTGAAACAATTTAAGCTAAGCTGTTTGTAACCTTCTGTTGCTGGGCTTTTTTACAACTGTAGATGGACAGTGAAAATCCCTCCAGTATTCCTAATACTTAAAATTTGTATCTTCTTTTTTTTTTTTTTCTTGATCAGTCTGGCAAACATTTTCTTGTATATGTGAAGTTTTCTTAATCTCGAAGAATCAGATTTTTGTGTCATTGCTCCTTCCTCTATAGCTTGTCATGTCTTCATCAACTGATGTATTGTCTTTGTGTCTGCTGCTCACACAGAGTTAGAGCTGTTGCTATCTGCTCTGTGCTAGAACTGGCTTTTCTCTGTTGTCACCACTTAGACCTGCAGAACGTGCTTACATGGCCCTGTGATCATCTCACACCCTCACCACTCACTCCTGAGGATGGCACTTGGGCTGATACAGGACAGCAGGGCTATGAGTTTTTTTTTAAATCAATAACGTTTTCTTCAAATGATAGAGGCCAAAGTCAAGAACAGGCTTGCCTAGTACAGCCCTGACTTGTACAGACTATGTTGCCTTTGACCAAAAGGTGATGAGCACAGTCTTGTGATTTCATTTTGGGAGAGTAGATGACCTTGACTCCTACATGGGACCCTCTGAATTTATAGGCTCAGTTTTCAATCAAACCCAGGAATTGTATCCTAGTATGTCTCTGTACACCTACAATGAGTTTCTCAGAAACTCTTTGATCTACCAATGGCTTCTCTCAATAAGAAGGGAAATAAAGGGACAGAGAGATGGTTCAGCAGGTACAGTGCAAGCCTGATGGCTTGAGTTAGATCCTCAGAACGCACATCAAGGTGGAAGAGAAGTGTCTCTACAAAAATTGTCCTCTGACCGTCACACACATGCTGTAGCACATTTCTCTCCACCCCAATGGTAACATTTTAATAATGCAAAATAAAATTCTGATCCAATGTTCATTTTGCATTTCCTTGAGAATCATGATCTTCCCATTAGAAATTATTTATTTATTTATATACTATTCACTACAGCTTTAAAATCCTAGGTAGATGGCTGACTTTCTGTAGCAGGCAGCAGAGCTGCTGCTGCTGTTGCTGCTGCTGCTACATGACCAAGTTTAACTGGTCCCATTCTGGTCTGGTTCAGTCATCCCAGGTCTCACTGTGGTCTCCTGAGCCTTAGCTCACCTAGAAAACCAGGGCAAAGATAGCAAATTCACCCCACCATAGTGACTTTTTGACAAGAAAAGAGAGAGGAAAAAAGGAAAGCTTAGAACCCATATTCCTATGCCGAGGAGCGCACTGTCCTAGTGAGTGTGGGGCCTGGGCTAGTGTCTCAGTCCCTGGGTCTCCCTGTGGTGAAGCAGATGCCCTCAAGTGTCAGGTTCCCATCAAATGGGCCACTAGGTAAGGGATGCAAACCAGCATGTGTGAAAGGTTTATGTACCTCAGGACTATCCCTGAGTTACTGGACAGCAATGGGATCTGTGGCCGGGAAACAGGAAAGCTGTATGTGGTCTTTTAATGGCACCCCAGGAAACGTCAGGAAACCAGACCACATATGCCTCCTTTCCTTCTTAGTCTTTCTTTCTTGCAACCCATTAGGCCTTCTCTAAAGTACTTGAGCAATGTATCTTCCATCTTAAAAATTAAAACGTTTGTTTATTATGATTCTTTACTTCTTCTATCACTGAAGACAACAGGACAAATGTGGATTACAGCCAGAAGCCCAGCAGTACCTAAGTAGAACCAAGCGCTCCAGCAAGTCAAGGCATGGGCTCACAGCAGGCATCTAGGCCATGTCCTTATGCCTTGTTATAATGTGGTGATGGAAGAAAAGGAAACAGTTAGGTGGAGAGTACAGTAGACATGCCTGGACTTCTCTGGCAAGAATAGGTACCCAGGGAAAGAGCATGACTCAGACATAAAACCATTAGGGACCTTACTGAACACTGGCAGATGTTTCTTCTACATTATGTGTGACATTCTATGACAAATGCAAATAAAAGCCGAGGAAACATAGTCCTAATGTTTTGTTTCCTGTCAGGAAACCACCACAGAACACAGGCCAAATTGTAAGGTGGGTCTAAACCAGCTGTCTGATTGAGTCCTCAATTATTTTTATTACTGTCAGTTATTAAATCAGAGCATTGTTAGAGACAGTGGGAGCGATGGCTGGAGCTGCAGCAAATGGGAGAACGAGGAGGAGCAGTTAGGAAATGTTGGCTAGAGTCCCAGCACTGCATCTAGGTGGCCTGTGACCTTGGAAGTCCCTCACCCTCAGGATTCAGAACGAGAACTGAGTCCGCTTCCCCTGTTGCAGTAGAAACAGGAGCCAGTGACACCCTGCAGAGTAGAGAAAGGAAAGCTGTGTAGACCCAGGTCCTCGGCTAGACCCCTCTCTGCAAAAGTGTATCTTTTGCTGGCCAGGACACTCTAATGGTTACTTTTGGAAGATTGCAGAGTAGAGAAAGGAAAGCTGTGTAGACCCGGGTCCTCGGCTAGACCCCTCTCTGTAAAAGTGTATCTTTTGCTGGCCAGGACACTCTAATGGTTACTTTTGGAAGAAACTTCTTGACACTTGCCTGTGTTCCACGGACCACTTTGGTACCAGTATCCTGAGGATAAGGTTACTTAGATATGGCCATCTGGCCAACCTTTTGCCATACACTCTCCTCTGAGAATTACTGACAAGTGAACCAGATGGTCACTGTCCCCAAGTTAGCTTTTCCTACTTTTAAATAACTTCACAGTTAGAACACATTTCTGGCCACTGTCACAGTAGCCTGGCCTGGCCTGTCTTCTACTTCTCTTCAGAGCAACACAGACATGCCCATACAAAGATGGATTCTCCTGGTTGTCTGTCACTTGTCTTCTGTGGAGACTGATGTGTTCCAAAAGAATGTGCTGTATCAAGTGCGAGACCCTGAACTCCATAGAGCAGTGGCTATGGGGACCAGAAGGGGCACTGTGCCTATACCTCCAGTTTCCATGTTGGAAGCAGAACAAGTGCTGGTGTCCTCACAGTGGCAGTAGCCTTATCTTAAGATGGTATGGACTGTTGATACATGTGTGGTGGTTCGTATGAGAATGTTCCCCATAGGCTCCAAGTATTTGGACATTTTGCTTCCAGTTGGTGGCGCTGTTTTAGGAGGTTGTAGGAGGTGTGGCTATGCCAGAGGAAGCACATCACTGGGGGTGGGCTTTGAGAGTTCTTAAACCTTGCCAAATTTCCAGCTGCTCTCTTCTTCATGTGCCTGCTTAAAAATGTGATCACACTTAGCTTTCTGCTCCTGCTCTGGTCACTTCCTGCTACCATGCCTCCCCACCATGCCAGTCTCTAATTCCTAAAGGTAACTAATATCATGTGATTTCTACATGACTACAAGATAAGTCCCCAAGAAGAGGGAGGCATGCTGAAGATTCTCCTCCTAATCCCATGTCCTGTGGGAAATGATCTACTGTCTCAGATCCAAAGTTCTGATCAAGACCCAATCAGCACCCCATGCATGGTGCCCAGCTTGGAGGAAGATCACAGGGGCCGAGGTCAGTGGGGGGAGAGCTGTCTTTGGTTTCCACAGACATCTGAATGTGAGGGCATTCTGTGGTCTAACTGGCTTCACATGTATTGAATACAGTCAGTACCATGGGTGCCCTGTGACAGCTCAGCCTATCACAGAGCCCTGGTGCATGTTGGCAGCTGAGAGACAGGTGAATACCAGAATCTTTCCACACTGAAAATAAATTTAGATTAAATAGCTGTCTTCAGTTTTTGTACACCCATAATCTTAGAGTTATCATCACCAGACTAGGAATGAACCCAGAACTTTAGTGAGGAGACAGATTACCTCTGATGCATCACTTCATTTATTTTCTGTCACTCTTCTTTCTGGCAGTGTATAAAGGAGCCCATATTTACAATAACAAGGAACATATTGCATTCTTCCTTATCCACTCAGTTGACACACATTTAAATTTGTGGCTGATTTATTTGCTGTCTTTAAGAAGGGAGAAGTAATCCAGACACACTGCTACTTCAGATCCTCCTTTGGACCATTAAGTTTGAGAGAAAAGGCCATGAAGTGCCTTAAAATAGTGCACATCCAGGTGATGCAGTGCAGGTGATGCTTATCTCTGAGTCGGCTGCAGGGCAGCCTGAAAACTCACCATGAGGAGTTTCATCTCCTGCAGCAACAGTTCAGTCCCTGAACCCAGGTGGAAGGAGATTCATTCCTCATAGTAAATATGAATGCAGACATAACTCTAGATGTAAGACCCTAGCTTCTTCTCCTCCTGTGACAGACAGCTCCCCTTATCAAAAAAGATCTTGCTTAGTATGGAAGATTAATTTGACATGGTGACTCTCACCTTTTGATTCTCCTTCTTGAAATAAACCCTCATTTATACTCCAACCTCTACATGTCAGGTATTTCCTAAAAGCAGATGCCAAGAGAACACATAACACACTTACCCCCGTTCTCTGAACTTCCATGAAAGTTGCTCTTTGGAAGGACTTCTCCCATACTGCGAGCTCACTACCCAGCTCCACACTGAAGACATGGCTCTTCCCGTGGCTGGCAAGGACACTGAAGCAGTATGGCCGGGAGTCCTCACAGTCAAAATCCTGGAGACCCAGATACAAGTTTGCCTGCAGCCAGCAGTCATCCGAAAGCCAGATCTGAAAAACAGCACCGATTGGAAATGGGTCAGGACTGGAAAGTTGAGCCCGGGCTGTGGAAGGCAACCCACCATTTGCCCCACAGGAGATAGGAGGAGGGCTGCATTTGCCTGGCTTGGTGGAGGTCACCTTTTCGTCACAACCACCAAATGGAGCAAGAGCTTTAGCAGCATCTTCAAAAGCAACAGTCAAGCAAACAGAGAAGGAATGCACTGACTTCAACACGAGGATGCATCATGGACTCACCTCAACTATCCTGCCTGTGCCCTGATCTCTGGAAACCCTGTCTTCTCACTGTGCCTCCTCCCCTGGTCTCTGACATGCTCATGTAGGAGCAGCCCCACTCAAAGCGCCCTCCTGTCAAGGTTAGCTACAGGGAACCAGATGTTACCAGCTGTCACTAGGAGTGGAATATGAAAGCATGTGACCCAGAGGAAGCTTCTGGAGCCATTTTCTCCTCATACACACCTATGGTGGAAATGGCCCCATAAAAATACCATAAAAAAGTTGTGCTGAGATTCTGATTACCTGGAGGTGACTTTCCTCTAAAGATCAGCAACTGCAACTCTCTTTTTTGTAGTTTAAAGTTTTGACGCTCTTGTTTTTGTGTTTAGTATAAACTCAAGAAACAGGAGCACAGAGGAACACTCTGCCTACACCCAGTCCCTTGGAGAGACTGGGTTCAGCCTCCCCGTGGAGGAGTTATATCTCTGGAGTTTGGGGGTGAATCATTACCCAATGATACATCACTAACACAGGGACAAAAGCCTTCTCTCTGATCTTCTTGCTCTCAAACATAAATTTTAGTGGAGTTTATAACTGAATAAATAAGCCTTAACAAAAAGGAAGCAAGATGAAATGGCCTTTGAAGAAGAAACACATCCAGGAGGTGCTGCTAAAAATCAGTACTCTCTTCACTCACGGATTTGTCACAGCAACAATGGATTCATCCTGTTTCGCTAATAGTGTTAAAATGACAATAACTCTGATCACTAAGGCTGCATCTGGTTTGATATGTAATGACTTTATTGAACTAATCAGTATAATAAAATGTTTAGTTATAAGGAATTGTTTGAGAACAGACTATGAAGTCCAGAATCCTGATTCTTGCATTTGGCTACATTGTAACACTCTCAGGGAAGTTTAATAAAGTGAATCCAAATGTCTGACTCACATCTTACACAGAGGAAGAGGCGGTGGCCTGACAGATACATATAGCAAGCCCCTTCCTATGGCAGAGGCCTGTCATCATCATCCCAGCGCTTGGGATGCAAAAGCAGGAGGCTTAGTCCTCCTGCTTAGCCTCAACTATAAAATGAGCTGGAGTCTAGCCTAGGCTGCATAATACTCTGTCTCAGAAAATACCAAAACAAAATAAAAAACTCCAACACAAGAAAAAAAATTCTCTATAAAACTGAGATCCCCGAGACTTTTCTAAGTGAAATCCTGGGTCCCAATGGCTCAACTTGGTGGGCTCTGCACTTACTCCAGCTCATCATTCCCAAAGTGTCAGCACAGCAGTTGTACAAGGTAGGGCTCAGGATGACTCTGAGGTTAAGTCTGTGTTCTTTATGCTGAGTCCTTGTCAGACAGCTTATGTCAGGGATGACACCTCCTCATTAGACAGAGGAGAAACTGACTTCCTGCCTGTGAATTTGCTAGTTCAGAACTGTGCAGAGCCAGGCAGATCTCTGTGAGTTCAAGGCCAGCCTTGTCTACATAGTGAGTTCCAGGACAGCTGGGGCGACAGGGAGACCCTGTCTAAAAAGGAAAAAAAAAAAAAAACAAAAAAAAACAAAAAAAACAAAACAAAGCAAATAAGCAGGGTACCTGATGTCTTCTTCTGACCTCTGCATGTGCATGGGTGTAGGTATTGCCATATATACATGCATACACCACACACATATTGACACATATACACATTCACAAACACACACTCATACACACACAGAAGCACACACACAATATCCTCAACAAAACAGAAATACAGCAAAACAGTAACAATAGCAACTAAAATCAAATTTCTGGTTAATGATAACTGGAAATACACACACACACACACACACACACAATCCATCCATCATCCATCTACTTATGTACACATCAGTCATTGATCCATCCATTATTCATCCATCCACTTCAGTAAGCAACAATATGGCAACCACACTGGATTGGAATAGCAGGTCGATCCAGAAGGGTTCGTGCTATTTTACTATCTAAAAGGACTCATCAGTGACCAAGTTACTCCTCCCACTCTGTAACTTGAGGGACATCTTTTTTCTATGAAGCATCTGAATGCCAAGGATACCCACCTTGTGAACTTTAAACAGCACCTCACAGAGGTTGTAGACTCGTTCTGCTAGTCCCCAGTCCAGCGTGCTCACCTGGGGGAAACAAAGGGCCACATTTGTGTAGGAAGCTCTTCTACCTGAGAACTTACACATTTTGCCATGGAGTGATTCCATGAGTCTCCACTGTCTCAAATGCTAAGCCCCACTGGACCTGGGTGACAAAGGACTTTACAAGCTGCTGTGGATTCTGAAACTGTGCCTACCCCTGGTGTGCAGCACAGATACAAAGGTACTTTATTGAGTCATGCACTGGTAGTGTGGGATCCTAATTTCACTTACTTTAACAATTCATTTTGGATTCTCTGTCAATTAAATTTTAGTTTAAGTGTAGCAAACTTAAGATGAGTTTGTAGGCTAAGTGGAAAAATGTGACAATCAAGAGGACACAGTGCTCACTGGTCCTTTGGTTTTTAGGACTAAACATCCTGGACATTTCTCCTTCAGAAAACGTATCTAATCAACTTAAATAAATATATTTTTGGTTGATCTGGCCTATTATAGCTAACAAACTATTTTTATAATAATGCCAAAATAATCTAACTTTTGAAAGATGTTTTGATGTTTTATGATTTACAGTTCACATTTATATATATGATCTCTAAGGTAAAGTGTTTCAAGTAAATAAAAAAGGTATAAGATTATCAACAATGTGACAGATCTGGGTCTTTTCGTTGACCTTACATTTACTCTTCCAGTTAGTAACTTGTTCCTTGTGTTGCGTCTTTGAGGTCCTGAATCTACCATGTATTTAATCAGCTGGTGACTTCCTAACAATCATCCCACAAAAGAAAACGCTCCCAAGGCACTCAGATGGGAAACCATTTCAGCCAGGGATCTTGCCAACAGTGACATGGAAACAATATTGATGTGCTACCATTTAATATTTCATTGCTCCAGAGCAAGCTCAGTGCTGTTGGAACCGAAAAATGAAAAATAAGGAAAGGGTAGAAGTCAATACAAGCAGGATCTAAGCACAACCGTGAACTTGGGGTCCACATTGAGACCTAAAGCATGACTTTTAGAATTGGCAGGAGGTGGCCCTTGGTGCACTGTTCAGACTTAAAATGTCAAAGACTTCAGCACTGCTCCCCAAGGCCAAAGTGTTAGAAGAGCATCACCTAAGCTCAAGGACATGGTCTGCTGAACCTGGAACTCTCCTGCCCTCCTCCCCTATAGTCCTGTTTCCCTGGACAAGGAAGATGCCCCTCAGGGTAGAGTTCTGGGGTTGTTGCTATAAGTGAACAAAATAAATCCCACATGGGTGGGCATCATGTTCAAATTTCCTTTTAGAACCGTGCTGCTTATTTTAGGAGAATTTTAAAAAGACAAAGAAACAAATGACTAAACACATTATTCATAGATATCTCCCTTAGTAGCTGAACTGATGTTTAAATATGCATTATACATACTCATAATTTTGCCTTTTCAAAATGTTGTTTGTAAAATCAGCATTTTCTCATGCCATATTTTTTCTCAGAAATAAAATTTGAATGGCAGCATAGAATTTCAGTGTATGGATTTATCATATTTTTGTAAGCCTCACTTTAGTGATGGATGGACATTTTAGAATGTGGTTCTAACTCTGTAACAGTGCCCTAATTAGTATACTGAGGCCATCATAGTGTGATATTCAGTTGTATAGAATGCATTTTCCTTTTTTAAAAAAAATTTATTTATTATTTTTATTTTATGTACATGCGTGTATTGCCTGCATGTAGATAAGTGTGCCCCTGTCGTGCAATGCTCCACAGAGGTCAGAAAAGGCTGTCAGATCCCCTGGAACTGGCTTTATGGACAGCTGTTAGCTGCCATGTGGGTGCTGAGATTCGAACCTGAGTCTTCTGCATGAACAACCAGTGTTCTTAACCGCTGAACCATCTCTCCAGCCCCTTATTTCTATTTTTAAACTTTGTTGAAATACGTATTTTCTACATTAAAAAAATTTTTTTTGGAAGACAAGGTCTCATGTGTTCTAGGCTGGCCTCAAACTATATAGCTGAGGATAACTTTGAACTTCTCATCATCCTGCTAGGATTATAGCTGTGTACTCCCACACCTAGTTTTTAATGTGGTACTGGGGATCAGCCCAGTGCCTTTTGCTTGCTGAGCTGCATCTCTAGCCTCATCCCACCCCCACCAAGCCTGTTTCCTTTGTTTGTTTTTGTATTGTTTTATTTTTGAGTCAGGGTCTCCCTGTAATCCCAGCTGGCCTGAGACCTATGTCGTGCAATGCCCACAGAGGCTAGAAGAGGGCATCAGATTCCTGGGAACTAGAGTTACAGATGGTTGTTAGCAGCTGTGTGGGGAGTGTACATAACTCATGTTGTGGAATGCCCACAGAAGTTACAAGAGGTTGTTAGCCACCATGTGAATGCTGGGAATCAAACTGGGTTCTCTGCAAGGACATCCAGTGCTCTTAACTGCCGGATCATCTCTCCAGCCCCTTGAATGTGTTTTTTCTTAACAGTTTGTCATAAGTCTACGGCAGAATGGCCTGCTTGGGAGCGGAAGTCCAAAGTAAGGGTGAGGGGAGATGATGCTTCCTACTGTTCATAAACTCAACTCTCCCTTGTATTCTGTGTATTTGCTGAGTACCTGCTTTCTATAGCTACATAGCAACCAGATGCTGATGTGGGTGTTCACCATCTATCTTACTGTTCCTGCCAGGGGGTCTCCTGGGGACAAACCCAACTCTACACCAGTCCCTGGGCTGCTGAGATTGACTGCCGCTCCCAGTTCGGGCTGAGCATAAGTCATGACTTGCATCTGGTCATCTCAGTCACTTTAATGGATTCAGGGAAGAGACCTCAACCAGAGTTAGAGGTGAGTAAGAAGGTTCTCAGACTTCTGGGATAGAGACATCTTACCATTAGACTTGAGCAGTGCTAGGAGCCATCATGGGGCCTTGAGGACTTTAGGTACAGACCTGTCTTGACACTGGTTCCTCTGCTGTAACAAAGTGTCACACAGATGAAAGAGATCTGAATGGCGGGGGGGGGGGAAGGGTTGGGTGGGAATGTGGCTGCAAGTCTCATATAAACCTAAAACTCTCTAAAATCAGATTATTCATTTAAAAAAAGCCGATCTCTCTCTTCATTCCCTTTCCCTAGATTTCCTAAACTCCTTATCTTCTTACAGGCTTAGCTAAGATCCAGAACTGAAATCTTTCCTCTCTGCTGAGCAAGTGTCCTTCTTCGAGTCTCAGTGACCTCATCTGTCGCTCACTCAAGGCTGTTTTCCTGTCAGATTTACTCACTTGGCACATACTGGCCTGCTGGGCTCCACCCTGCACAGGAGCCCTTCTGCTTGTGGGTATGGTATGGATCCCCTAATCTAGCAGAAGGACAAACAGGAAGGGTCTCCAAGTTTATGCCTGCAGAAAATTATCACCAAAATATTTATTCTGTCCTTTATGGTTCTTTTCATTTTTTTTTTAAATTTATTAGTTTTAGTTCTAGAAACTGGCAGTGGCAACTGAATCCTGAATATAACAATCTTTCAGGTAGGTATTGTTTAAGGTAAACCACTTCCCAGACATGCAGTGTGAGTGTCCAATGAACTAATCAGGCACCAGCTCAAACAGGAAATAGTTGACGTGTGTGCATCTATCTGATGTACTTATACATCCACCACTAGAGTATAAATATGAACCTCAGGATCTCAGGTTGGCTGCTCAATGGTGTTGTGACAATAGTGAAGGAGTCTAAGGAGCTCGGCTCTAGATCCCTGCCTCAGCTCAGGTTTGAAGCCTGGGTACAGCAGCTACACCTGCCTAGCTCACCGTGGCAGGGATTTCGGGCCCTGTTGCTATTTCAAACAGAACAAGTCTGGAATGGGCTCAGCTATCTTGGCTTTAATTTCCAAGAAATCTGTCAATGGTGTGTTATCGAAGACCCTCTAGTGGGCAAGTACAGCTTCCCCTGGAACTTGTGAGAGAGGCAGTGGTGAGAGAGAGAGAGAGAGAGAGAGAGAGAGAGAGAGAGAGAGAGAGAGAGAGAACCTTACCAGTTCCTCAGCACCTTCAGAATAGGCATGGGAATCAGCTGCTGAAAAGCTTCCCAGGCCTTTCTGGCAGATTTGCAAGGAAACACAAAGACCCCCAAAACTTTGAAAAGGAACGGGAGAAAGAGGAAAGAGTGGGGGAGAGAAAGGAGGGGTTGTGACTTGAAACATTGTATTTACAATGTTCTTCCTACAAAAGAATTCCTGACTTTGTGGACCAGGTTCCCCCTGATGCCGTTTCCTGAAGTGGAAGTGTCCCTCACACAGCAAGCACACCTTATTTTCTGCTCTGGTGGTCTCATGGTAAAAGGGACAAACCTTCAACAGAGAAGAGTGGGACTCAGTGTGCAATACTCTGAGATGTCATCTAGTTGGCTCTCCACAAAGTGGTTCAGGTGTTAGTCACCCGCCCTGTCATTAACTTGTCCCTGGTGATGCAGAATCAAGACGAGCAAAGAGGATGCCTGCTGACTCCAGACCTCTCCAGAGATGCATTGCAAAGAAAATAAGGGGCTTTCACTTGAGAAGAGATAAAGATATTCTAAATCACATTGTCCCTGCTCCTCTAAACAATGGCAATTGGTGAATTTTAACTTACCTGATCAGTAAGGTTGGCTTTCAGTACAGCAGAAACTTTGGACTGCAAATGTACATAGCTATCTTTTAGGCTTACTGTGAACTATAGATCACTTTGCCCCAGAATGATGCAGTAAGTCTATGTTGAACACACACTTGGCTAGCATTTATTCAGTCTACAAACTTTACTTAATAATTTCTTTCCAGATAAACTTTTACAGATGATAAAATATATCTGCCTAATTGACATTCTTAAAATCACTGCTAATGTTTCCTGCAGGTACACAGGCCTTCACCACATAATTTATATCCTAATGCTACATGATGCTGCTAAATTGATTTCACAGCTCTACTTTTAACACATTTTAATGGTGTTTGAAAACACGAATGGTTGAAGCCTCACCTTTCAGATTCCCATTTGCAAGTCGGAAATAAATATTCTGTCAGTGTAGGCAAGCAGAGTGAAAGAGAAGAGCTGAGGGTCCTGCCTTTCCATTCCTACTCACCCAGGATCTGTGAGGGTTGGGGACGGAGGGTGAAGCTCCTTTATGCTGGGTCCTGTATCCTTATATCACACTCCTCTGTAAAATGCTGCTGTGGGCCCCCCTTCTCTCCTTTAATGGTCTCCCTGTTCATCTTCTTCAAGGAGCTCAGAAACCAATCGCCCTTGAATGAAGGACTTTATCTTTTAACTTTTCTTAAGTTCTGTCATAAGAAATTTGACAGGATGTTCTGGGAGCCACATCTCAGTGCATGTTTTGACTTTTCTGCATTGCCATAGCTTTCTCCTGAGTGCATGTAACTGGCTCTTGGGATGAGCTATGGTTTTGCTGTGACTACTCCAGAGAAGCTAGTGACAGTCACTCAAAAACATTGGCAAAGCTGTCTCCCCAGAACCCACCTGAGTATAATCCAACTCCTCACAGGGGAGACCGCCACCTCTTCCCCTAAGAGAGGATGCACTGGCTTTACTGAGATGACGTCTGTCCTGTGCAGAGATGGGCAGATGCCCTGCTTGCTGCATAAGCTGGGAGTGAAGAGCCACACCTTGGGCGCTCCCATTTGGGGCCCAGGCCTCTGTTTATGAGGGGAACATGTGCACTGCTGGGCCCGTTTGCTGGGTAGGGCAAGAGAAACTGACACTGGATGTTTTTCAGTCATTAACAGCCTGTCTCTGATCCAGGAGCTTCATGATTCATGCAAGGATAAAATAAATTATTGTTTTAGATTTGGACAATGTGAAACATTTTCACTGGCAAATTACTACCAGCACCAAGATATAAAATCCCAGGGAAGAAGTATGTATAAATGTAAATGCATAGATCCACTCGCAGTGTGCGCATCAGTATGACACTACGCAGTTGTTCAATATTAATACTGTGATTTTATCTTTTAGAGTCCAAGTGTTTCAGAGGCTTCAGACTCACTTGTAAATATATAAATTAAGCCAGCCAGTGTTCACTGTGGCCCTATGGGGTCTGCATTCCAGGCAGGATTTATTATCTCTGACATGCCATTGAGGAAATCGTTGGGTAAAGAATGTAAGTAAATTGCCTTATGCCCGTGGCCAGTAAACGGCAACAGTCTACCGAAAACCTGTAGCTTCTCGTTATTAACTTGAGGCTTATTCCACTGAGACATGGAGTAATTATTTTTCGCTGTCCTATGCAATCTTTCCTATCTCCCTTTACAATATGATTTTTGTTACTGTAGATAAAAGCTGATGAATTATTTAAAACATTTCATTTTATCCCAGCTCAATTCTATTATGTCACATAGGTTTTTACTTTTCCTACTTAAAATGCTGTCTGGATTACTTATGATCCTTTACATTTTATTTAGTAAAAGTCTGTCCATCTTAAAGCACAGTGCAAGTGAATGAGCTTTGCCTGTTTGTCTCTAGAACTGAACAGCTGTTGAAGAATGCTTACGGTACGAAAACAAACATGAAAACCATAGTTTCCCAGTCTGACTTCTGAAATTTCGGTGTTTTGCATTTTTCTGTCTTCACTTCCCTCTTCTGAAGCTGTGCAATATTTGCTCAAGGCTCTCAGATTACTCAGTTAATAGAAAACTATGTACCTTTCCCCACTTTTTGCACTTAACTACAAATGGAAACAGGCTATAGTGGCATGAAACCTGGACCTTTTGGCTGCCATCACTCTGTGGTCTGCTGTGAAGGCTCTTAACTGTCTTGATTATCCCATGGAGCTGTGGTCCTGTGTGCCCAGAAGACTTAGCCAGGTGCCTAGATGGGCTTCCTCCACGGATGGCCTCCTCCTAAAAACTCTAAGTGTTCTGTAACACTTTTGAATTACCTGATGTTGATCTGAGGGTTTATTAAGACACAAAATGCTTTTGAGATTTGCTGGCTTCCCTCACCCCCAAAATACCTAGTGTTGATTTTGTCTTTTATATTCTCTTTGGAGAGAATTTTCTAGTGTTTCTGAAACACTGAGCACAGGTGCAGAGTTGGACTATGCTTCAGTATTAGGAGAGAGGAGGTCTATGTAAGTCGCCTCACCTCACAGAGGCCCTCTTGGCCATCAGTGACTTTATTATAATTTCACAAGGATAGCAATGATAGCTATGTCACCAGATATTTCAAAATGATCTGAGGACATAAGGGGATACACAAATGACCCTCCATTTCAGCCTGGCTTTGGGCTGAATATTCACGTACCACACTGCCTTCACCTTTTTTTTTCCTTCCTGGTGTCGGTTCCCCTGGGAGAAATGGAAAGTGGCCAGACCCAGGAGAGTGGGCAGCTCCCTCATACATCATGGCCAAGGATATGGCCAATTGACCACTACACTCATGTGGTCCCCAGTGCTAACCTTGCCCGTTTGCTGTTGACATCTCTAGCCACATATCATACCTGAAGATGAGGCTGGAGGCTCTAATACTACTCAAAAATCTCCATTTTCTTTGTTACACAAAACCGCATATTATTTACTTTGGGCAATATTAAAGAACACCCGTTAATTTACTTTGAGGAAAAGTCAGCCAGTACTTATGAAAATACGTACGTGACTCTAATGTGATTAAATTCACAACATGGGTTTTAAAATAAAAAAACCACACTTCTAAGAAAATGCAATATGCTGTTTTATTTCAAGCCAATGGAAGAAAAAGTGCATTTGTAGAGAAACCAGAGAAGCTGGTGGACTCTGCAGTCCATCGAGTGTTATTCCACCACTGTTACCACTGCAGTTTTACTGGGGGTCAAGTAGGATGCACACATTGAGGAAAACTGAGCACAGCTTCCACAAATATAAAATTATTCCAAAAATCCATGTCATTTCAAGGAAATCATATGTATTAATGAAAAAAAAAACAGGGAGTGCGTCACCACTTTAATGTCCGAAAATGGAACTCTGGTATGTCACTTTATTTAATTTTAGTGTCAGAAATTTCTCTCAACACTTTGTGTGGGTCCAGCTTTTTTATACTTGGAGCTATTAAGTTTTTTAGCTTTCTTGCAGTTCTGGTGATTAAACTCACAAAAGGAAAAAAAATCTTCAAATGGTGAACTTTTAGGCAGAGCACTCACAAAACATTTGGTCAATGTGGAGAGAACGGGGTTAGGAATTGGAATATAAAACTATCGGATAAAATCCTTGCATTTATATTATAGGTTGTATAGCTCAGTGACTTTGGAAATTGTGAGGGAAAAGAATAACTCTGGAAGTGGCATTACTGAGCGACACACAGACTCTAAGGAGAAGGGCTGCTTTGTTTGCTGTTTGGATTTTTCAGCCACAGAACTCAGCCATGGGGCCTCTGCATCCACCTCCAGCTGAGATTTTAATCAGAGCAATGCTATGGTAGCCTACTGGTTTCAACTGAAAGGCAGAAATTGATTTTTTTAAGAATTTGGAGTAAGACACCCATAAGCAGGACCCTTTCCAACCACAGAGGTCTGGAGAATCCTGGGAGTAGCCATCTGTCTCTGCCTTCTCGCTGGGTCCATCCTAACAGCCACCTATCTGATATGAACAACTAACAACAGACCCTTCCCCGAGGAGTTGCAAAGGCATCCTTACCGGAGGAGTGTTGAAAATGTAGAAGGATGAGCCCTTCAGGGCCAGGAACTTGGATCTGAAGGTCTGAGCGGCATCAGCTCCCTGGAGCCTCTCATTTACCCACCCCATGTGCACCACCTGCAGAGGGAAACCTTGGAAAATTAAAAGCCAAGCCTTAATGAGAATGTCCTAGGAGCAGAAGACTAACTGCACTCAACAAGATATGTTAACTTTGACATTCGACTCCCAGACAAGAGGGGAACTAGGGAAGTCTAGGTGAATCCCCAAGTTTCCAAATCAGGCAGACAGAGCAGGAGTATAAATCATTTTCTGGGGAAGACTCAGAGCTCTATAGGGCAGGCTTTATATAGCAGCTAAGTCGTGGGTTCCAGGTACACCTTAAAAATTCACAACTGAATTACATTCTACTAGTGATTAGGTGTTCTGATTCTAATATACAGACACAAAACTAGCTAATTTTACTTCAGTGTTTATAGTTAGCATATTGCATCACACAATGTAGAAAATGATCAAATATTTCTTTAGAGTTTAACTTCCTAAGAGTGAAAATAACAAAAAAAAAATACTAGATCTTTACAATTTAAATAGTTTTAACCTCATTCCATGAAACGCAAACTGTAAAATCAGAATCTGGCTCAAATGTATAACGTAAACACTAATACAATGTGAGAACTCAGTGAATGACTTCAGCCATATTCAGGAACAGTCCCCATCTTCATAACGTCTATTTGTGACACATGTTTCATGTGAGCACTGTAATTTCGGCTTAATTTTCTCATTTCCCCATTTTTTGCCATTTCAAAGACAACCAATTACTTAACAAATCTTCATGCAGGAAAAAATGAAAGTATGGCAGCATTCACAATCACTTTATTAAATAATATGTCCTATGTATGACTTCTAGATGGGACCCACGTGGCCCAGGGTCCTTCAGGTCTCAGGACCTCATGTCTAGAGTCTTGGGCAAGAACAGAGAGCTCATCATCAATTCCCTTGGCCCAAGGTAGAGCAGCCCCATGCCAGTTTTCACCTGATATTATTCACTCTCACACTGATGGAATTTTCCCCAAGAGGTTAAGATGGCAAATTGAAAGCTAGAACATAATGTTTTCTAGAGATGGGAAATAGTTTTCTGTGGAAAGTGACAGCCATGGCTGCATTAACACTGTCACAATGTGTGCTGAAAGAATATAGTCTTAATTTTGTCAGTATTTTAAAAATTGTCAGGGGGGGGAGTCAAGTGTGTGTGTGTGTGTGTGTGTGTGTGTGTGTGTGTAGCGCATGTATGTATTTATGCATTTATGTGAAGCCCAGAAGACAAACTTGGCCATTGTTCCTTGGGCACTTGTTATTTTAAGACAGGGTCTCCACACACTGGCTTAGAACTTGCCAGTAGGCTGCTAGGTTAGCTGACCCTTAAGCTCCAGGGATTCACCTGTCTCTGCCTCCCCAGCATTGGGATTACAAGTGCATGCTACTGTGCCTGGCTGATTTTATGTGGGCTCTGTGGATCAAATTCAGGTCCTAGTGCTTGCAAAGCAAGTATTTGAACTGAGCTTTCTTTTTAGCCTTAACTTTGTCTTATCATGTGTCCCATAAAGATGAGTCATATTGGTGTGATTAGGTGATAAAGTTATAGTAATACAACTTTTTAATGTTGTAGGTGACCTGGGATACATTTAACATAGTTGGGTCTTTCTTTATCTGTCATCAATAGGACTGAAAGTCCTTATACCACATGATAACTGTGAGGATTTAATCCCATGCCTTAGGAAACCCCCTCTTACAGTGTCAGCAAATAGGAGTTATGATGATTAGTTTTAAATGTCAATTTACCACAATTTAGAGTCACCTGAAAGGAGACATTCAATTGGAGAATTGTATAGATTAGGATGGTCTGTGGGCATCTGTGGGGAATTATCTTACTTGTTAGTTGATGTAGGAAGACCATGCCCATAATGGGCAGCACTATTCCCTAGGTTGAACCTTGAAGTGTGTAAGAGTGCAGAAGGCTAGCTGAGCCTCTGCAGCAAGCAGGCAGCATGGGTGCATTCCTTGCTCCCTGTGCTTGACTGTGGAGGTGATGTCACTAGCTGCTTGAGTTTCTGCCTTGACTTCCCCTCAATGACGAACTATAAACTAGAATTTTAAGTTGAATAAGCCCTTTCCTTCCCTAAGCTGTTTTTGGCCAGGGTGTTTTATCACAGCATCAGAAAGGAAACTAGAATAGGGACCAAGGGACATACTGTTTAGATGGTATTAGTACTCTGAGAAACTGCTAAAATGTAACTCCTTGGACATCTTCTGGATTGGGGCACATTGCAGATGCAAACCACAGTACATGGTCATATACTGCTATTTCCGCTTCACAAGGAATGAGCTGTGAGTAGGAACTTGATGTTCAGGCACTGAAGATCAGACCACTGCATTTACAGATGGCTGGAGACCCAGCACCAACTGAGGAAGGGCTGCACCCAGCACTCTGCTCTCCTCTCCTGCTCCGCTCCTCTGCTGACTCCCCTCAGGCCTACTCAGTGTCCTGGCTCTGCTGGTCTCTCTACATCTGCTCAGTAACTTTGGACACAGAATTCAACAAGAATTTTATACTGAGGAGGGCTTTAGCCAAGACAGCAATAGCTAGACGGTTAAGAATATGAATCACCAATTTGCTGGATGAGAACTTAATTAAATCCCATGTGTAATTTAATTCTGCCTAGATCAGTTAGTGCAGAAGTTACAGTTTTGCTATTATTTGAAACACTGGCTGCTTCGTGAATCTTTTTCACATAAGTATGGTTAGCTTGTAAATAAAATTAAGGGAAGCTAAACTTATCTTTTACATTATGAATTTTTTAATGACTTGCTGCATGTTGAAAGAAGTATATATCACACCTTCATAAAACACTGACCTGACTATATCATGTGAAATAATTAACTGATAATACAGGGAATTGCCATCACAAGAAAAAAACACTTCAGCTATCTTTCCTGATGCCATTTCTGTAGGAAAGTCCCATTTTTCACTGGATCAGTGGAGATACTTGGTTATGCCAACATCAGATGGTGACTATACAACTGTTTTTCCCTCTGTATGAAAAGCCAGTCCTGTGCTACTTATGTTAGCCTTGAATTGTTCATCAGGACATCGTCTCCCTAAATTAATTTAAAATCCAAGTTAGAAAGGATTTTATTAGAGAGGAAATTTGTTTTATAAATATATGGAGCTGCTTGCAGTTTTAGTAAAGTGAACAAGCTCTGGTTTTCCTGGGGTAATTCTCAGTTTGTGCTAATTGTCTTAGCATTATGTTTAAGTTGGTCGTGTGTGTGTGTGTGTGTGTGTGTGTGTGTGTGTGTGTGTGCGCGTGCGCCAGAGCTCAACTTCAGGTGTCATTCCTCAGGTGCTGTCCACAACTTTTTATTCCACCTCCCTATCCTCCTCCTCCCCTCCCTCTTCTCTCCGCCTCCCCCTTCTGTGACAGGGTCTCTCATTGACCCACAACTTACCAAACAGGCTAAGCTGACTTGACAACAAACCCCAGGGATCTACCTATCTTTGTCTCCCCAGTGCTTTGATTACAAGCACATGCACCACACTTGGATTTTTTAATGTAGGTTCTGGGGATTGAACTCAGGTCCTCATGCTCACAAGGTAAGCACTTTACTGTCTGAGCTATCTCCTTAGCCCCAGCTGGTGTTTGTTCTAGGGAAAGGTGCTCCAGTTTGGCCAACAGTTTATACAATTAATTGCCAGGTATAAGAATCGATGTTCTGTGCCTTTGTATTGCCTCTTCTTTTGATTCCAATTTCAGCAATTGTTAGGTGCCTTTATTTATCACATTTATTTAAATATTATTTCTTTGTTACCTATCAAAATCAAAGATAAACTTTTCAGAGAGATTAAAAATAGTCCTTTCTGTTTTTGAAGGGCTTAGTGTCATCAACTCCTAACACATACCAAGTATGCAGAGGTTGGAGCATGTTGGCAGAAGTCATTCATGAACAGTCACCCCTGCAGGCTGCTGCCTGGACACATTTGGCTTTGACACGGTTGGACGGTAGAGACCCTTAGCCCAGCCCAAGCACATTATGTGTTCAGGGCAGGTTTTATGATCTTCCACCTAACCATTGTCAGCTTTTATAAAAGAAAAAAGGGGACTTGTAGGCCAAATTCTAGCCCTGCCAGGGCCATTTCATAGCTTAGGCCCGTTTCCTGTATCAGAATTTAAACTGTGCCATCAACACGGCGTTCCCCGCCCCTCCTTCCACACCTTTCCCCACAGATGGCCTGAGCGTGCATCATGCTTCTGCTATACTTTGATTGGTCTGCCTCCTCATGACTGGCGCGACATCATCCCAGGATCCCCAATGCTAGATGTAAGCACATGATCAACATGATCTTTGCTACCATTGGTCCACAATGGGTGCCCTTTCATGTTACTGGATGATTATGTGTATATATACAGCCTGCTGGAAGTTCTGCCCTCTGACCTGCTCCCGGGGTGGTGTTTGCTCCATTGCATTTGCCCTCGGCAGGGTGTGGACTTGCCACTGGGCTGGACAGAGTGGACCCACAAAAGCAAATGTGTGTCAGCTCTAGGGAGGCACACTTAGACTCGGCAGGAGGACAAGGATGGTTTGATAACCACCAGTGTAGCACAGTGATGTGTCAGTGCCCATTAAAAGAACACTAATAAAGTCCCAGACAAGTTCAAAGTAGTATGGAAATTTTAAGTAATAAAAAACAAATCCCAGAAAATAAAACTAGATTCAAATTGCTCAGAATGACTTTCTTGCTATATAGATGAAGAAACCAACACTGGGATGTGAGTTTGTTCAATGTTTCTGGCAGAGAAGGACATGGTAGGAGCTAGAATTTGGGCTTTCATCAAGCAGGGCCAGCGGGTCTGATGTCATGTGAGTGAGGTCTCATGTGTGGTGGAATTCACCAGATGAAGTAGTCGAGAGTTACTGATATGATGTCCCTGGTACAAGAATGATTCAGATAGCACCTTGGATGGCGTGGGCTCCTCAGAGGGTCTGCAGTTCCTGCAACTGTCATTTCACTGAGGTCCCTTGACACCCTGCAGCAGGAGGAAGTAAATCTCAAAGTAAAGAAAATGTGTTCTGATCCCAGACTTGCAAGTCATTTGAATATACCTGGAAACCTGACTATTCTCCAAAGCAGGTTCAGTTCACATACATGCTCACATTCCAGTGACATGTTCCTTGTAGACCAGACTCTGTCCTTGAAGGAGACCTCAAATTCCCACCCTGTTTACAAAGTGTAATCTACCTCTGTGATCACAGAGACCCCAAAGAACAGCAGAGCCTTGTAGTTCTCATCAGACCAGCTCCAGGAACAGAGGACAGAGGCTACCTCATTCCCTGCCATCTTAGAAGGGTCTGATTTACAAGGTACAGAACCTCAGAGATGCTACAAAGTTTTAAAGGGTTACTAGAAATCAAATTTTAAAAATAGTGGATCTTTTGTGAGGCAGAGAGCACAAACTCAGCTTGCTATCCTGCCAGCAACAAATACACTGAGAAAATGTTTATGCGTGAACCAAGCGGAAGTATCTAGTTAGTGGAAAATTTTATAAGAATTTTTGTTCCCACACTGAAGAGTACAGAGAGACTATAATATTTTATGTGTAAAAATATAGAATGTATCTTATACCAGTTTGAAGATATTTATGGAAGTAACCCCTGATTCAGCTACATAAAACATCAGTGATTGATGATTAACTTAGAAAAGTATTAAAAGTAATGTTATATTTAGAAGAGTTGTTTTCAGTGATTCCTTTCCAATGTAAAAGTGCTAGTCAGCAGATCTGATTAAATTGCTTGTCTTTCTTAGTCAACATTTAACTGGCAAAAAACAAACAAACAAACAAACAAACAAACAAAAAACAACACTCCTGGAGGTTACAATGCATACTTCTGCCAATCTCTGAAAGACGTTATCAGGAAACCAATAAACCATAAGTAAAAAGTTTCCCCTTGTATTACATTCAATATGTGACTTTATTAAAAGGAAAGCAGAAGAATACAGGGGCTAATTTGCCTGATATTCAAGCAACAGGGTTATAATGGATTACTGCTTAGTCCTTGCAGAGCCAGTATTGAGCACTCCTTGAGCGGGAAAGCCAGGAATGTTCACTAAACACTGATGGTAAGGAGGGGCCTGACTAGGACAACCTCTCCCTAGGTCAAGTGAGAACACTGCCCAGAGTGGGGTACCAGGATCCCACCCAGCTACAGTAACACCTGTCAGGTAAGGATGCTGTGAACTGACGTTCCCAGGCAATAAAGCTACCCCTGTAAAAACTCTACAAGGATGATTGTGGAACTTTGTGGTGGCAGAGTGAGAACATTGCAGATTGAGAGCCAAATTACCCTGACTTATCTTTCATTCCCCAAATAATCATTCATTGACCACTCTGTGTCCATCTGACCTGCCACCCTTGTGACTATCAGGTAAATTCTTTTGAAATGTACAAATAACGCCCTAGCTTCCACCAATCCAAAAGCTAAAAATGTCATCAGGCAGTATGTGACCTACACAGCACCTGAAAAGTGTCTCGATTTATGACTCTCTTTCTTCAATTACTATAAAAACTTCATGGGATTCACGTTGAAATGTGGTATTTGGGACAACATCAATCCATGTTTCTGGGCCATGGTTACTGATGTTTGGTTCCAGGATAAACTGTCTTTTTCCATTTGAGATGAAAACTGTATTTTTGAGTCAACAGTATCATATAAGAAAATTGTCTCAAGTCACACAGGCATGTTTCCATCCTACCTGCCACCCCCGCCCCACCACACACACACACACAATCAGACTGTTTGGATCACACTTGCTATAGAACTGCCCACAGACAACACTTATCTCTGTAAACACAGGCAATCAGAAACATGTTCCTAAATAAATAAATAAATAAATAAATAAATACCTTTAATACATGGGGAAGAGACCACCACATTCTGTATAATTTATGCTAGCATTTTCTTATAAAAATTTCTAAATCAAATTCTAAAAAAGGAAGCGGATACTTTGGGAAGTCTATTCTACCAAGCTGAAGACACATGCCTACCTGTTCACAGGGAGAGCAGCATTTATTTGCCATTTTCATCTGTAGACAGAAGAGAGCAAGGAGTCAGTGTGCCACACACAGTAACACTTTCATTTTCAGCCTGTCTAAATGGCAGCCGAAATTAATCAGCCACACAAAACATACTTAGGAACCAGCTTCCTTTAAGCTGTGCTTGTCTGAAAATCAAACCAGAGGAAATGTGAACATGGCAGCAATTCTCATAGTAGGAAAGTAAAACACATCAGCACACTAGATCATCCTTTCCCAAATATCAGCTCTTGATGGAGGGCAGCTGAGGGGTGACAGATGCTTAAACTGCACCATGTGGAAAAAAAAATGAGGAAGATGGTCTCTGCTCTGCATCATATTAGATAATTACAATGACCAGTGGCCACAGTGGATAGTTTATTCTTTACTTATCTCCCCCCAAAACCATGTAGACTTCGTTTTCAATATTTTTTCCAGTGAGGAAGTGGAAGTCCAGAACAAAGACACACCCAGAACTCTGGTCCATGCTGCCCTGTCCTGCCGTCCAGGAGTTAAGTGGGAAAGTCATCTACACTGGAGGAGCCTATCCTTACCAGCATTTCTGCAGAAGGTCAACCTAGCCCCATCTATCTCCTTTTTGTTTATATATTTAGTTATTTCATTTGAAAAAACCATCTACCCATTCACTTTAGGAATTCAAAGTATGGAATATGAACACTAAGATCATAGGAGGTGCTTGCTTCCCTAACAGCAGAAGAAAAGGCTGCGAGGTCTTTAGAGTAGAAACCTCACACACCACTGCATCCTCAAATATTCAGCCAACTTTTGTTTAGCAGTGGCCAGAGCAAGTCAGGGGGTGAGGAAGGAGCAGGCAGTAGGTGCTGGGCTGGGTTGTGTGGGGCATCACAGGCTCTCCAGTGCCCCAGCACCAGGCTGCCAGGAACAGATCAGTTGGGTACAAATGCAGATCATGCCTATTGGGAGGGAGTGAGGTTGGGAAACCAGGCCAAGCCTTTTGGCTGAGGGTTAGTCATGCCACAGCTCCATGCTGGGCCAAGGGCTGGCTACAGCTTACCGTACTTCCTAAGACTTACATGGGACTGAGGTTTTTCTCTCCTTCAACCCATCGCCATTTATTCCTTTCTTTTAAAATTTCACTGATGTTGAACATCAAATATATCACTCAAGGACACAGAATACTTTTTTTTTTTAAAATCTGGCAGATGCCTGCCTGCCAATGTTTTTGGTTAGGAATACCTTTTTATAAGTGTTCATGGTCAGGAAATATTTATGTGCGTATTTAAGCACATGCATGCACGTATGTGTTGAGGCCAGAGGACAACCTCGGGCTGCGTTGTTCCTCAGGCACCATCCAGCTTGTTTTGGAGATAGGGTCTCTCTCAGCCCGGGAACTCACCAAGTATGCTAGGCTGGCTGGCCAGTGAGCCCCAGGGATCTGCCTGCCTCTGCCTTTCCAGGGCTGGGATTACAAGCACAAGCCACCACACCCAACTTTTAAAAATTTTTAATGAGGTCTGAGAATCCAGCTTAGGTCCTTCTGTAGCGAGGCAAGCACTTTCCTGACTGAACATCTCCATAGCCCTGGGGTGGGGATTACATTTTCATTTCAGATAGTTTTCTCCACATAAAAATGCCACATTGTACCAATACATTAGGATAAAACATGCATATATAATTATGCACACACAAATATTCCTGTGTATGTGTGTAGTAAGAGAGAGAAACAGAAGGTGGGAAGATATAGGGAGGAAACTAGCCTGGAAGTTTCCAAATGTTTGCATCTAGACACATTTCAATGGCTTAAGTTTTAGTTATTTTGGAAACTTAATCTGTTGAAACAAGTGCATGTTCTGCGTGCAGGCCCAGCCTTCCTGAGGGTTAATTATACTTGGCAAATTCTCATCCTACTGGTCACTGAACATGAGTGGGAGTAATTTCTGAGCTATGTGCTCACATGTTGAAGCATCAGGTCACTGATGTTGGCTGAGACTGCACGCAGCCAGTCGGCACAGTCCTGGGCTGTAGAGAACTGAAGGACTCCTGTGCTGGCTCCGTCTAGGGCTAGTACCTCGAATGCACTGGACCTGCAGTAGGAAGAGAGAAGACACTGACAAGGAGGCTGTCAGCAGGGAGGAGAGTAATATCTGTCCCATCCATGCTACAAGGCACAGGGTCCCTCAGCACTTTCTGCCCTTTGCTCAGCTGTGATACACCTGGGGAACAGCAGGCAGCCCTACTGTCCTTCATAGGTGTCAGCAGATCGGCTGTACCCAAATGAGGGTCCGCACCGAATTCCCTCACCTAGAGCTCAGCTGTGATACACCTGGGGAACAGCAGACAGCCCTACTGTCCTTCATAGGTGTCAGCAGATCAGCTGTACCCAATGAGGGTCCACACTGAATTCCCTCACCTAGAGCTGTTTCTAATTCAATAAACACAAGAAAAACAGATCACACAGGAAGGAGCCTTACACGTGTTATAATTTTCAAGTTACTATTTTATAGTATATAATTCTTAGTTATAATGCTTTAAAGGCTACTTAACACAAGGGATCTAAAGCGCTTGCCTGGATGAAGAAGCAGATACCAACATACTCGGTGTTGGTGAGGATCTGGAGTGCACACACTTCTGAGTCACAGCATGGGGACCTGTGAGCGCAAGCTTCCATGAATGACAGCAGAGCTCTGGAGAAGCCCCATGTCTTTGCTCTTATATGAACATCCACTTGCTTCAGCCCAGCCATGGGGCATTATTGACAACATCAGACCAACTCAACCCCAGTCATTCCCCTAGTATGCAGTGTGTAAAAACCACACTTTACATGTATCTATCTACAGTCCACACTAAATGTGTCATAATAACCTCCCAGATGTGAATCTCATCAATGTTTCATGAAGCAAGGCAAAGACACAGGGAGAGAAGAGGAAAATCCCATGTATGTGTCTGAGCATCTATCAGAGCGGCTTCCTGTGCCTGAATAACTTTTCATTTTAAAACAGGTATCCATGACCATCCCCACTTTAAGTACATTTCTTGAATTAGAGTGAAAGGTTTAATTATCTCCAGCTGAGTTTTCTATCTGGCGGCGTATAAAAGGAGACCAGTGTATTTTTTGAACACTTTGTCAGAGGATGAACAGAAGGTTGAGGTGACTGCAAAATGAAGGTGTAGGAGGCCAGCAGGACAGCTCAGGGAACAGACCAGGCATCCTTGCAGCTGCCTTCACACACAGCTGTTTCTAGTAGTTTCTTTCCACCTCATTTTCCCAGGGAATGCCCATCTATTTCTAACTCCTTCACTTTAAGGTTCCTTGTTCCCTGTGCAACTGCTTTAGACAAGAGTGTCCTGAATTATGAATTATCACCTTCTCTGGGATGTATTAAACCTTATTAAAAATCTGTTCTCCTGTTTACTTAGGGCCCTGAAAAGGTATGGCTATATTCTAAGCGTACTAGGAGGTCACTGAAAGGCTATGAAATGACATGATCAAAATATACGATAAATTTGCCAGGTGATGTGTTGGAAATGTGCTGAAAGGACAGTGGAGAATCTAGGAGAAGACTGTTGCCTACTACAGCAAGTAGGGGTGCTTAGGAGAACAGTCTGGGGAGGCTGCTGTGGCAGAAAAGTGAGTTGACAGATTGGACTCAGATTATGGGATAAAGAGGAATCGGCAAACCCAGGCTGTTTGGCTGAAGGTACTGAATCACAGCCATGCTGTTTACCAGCTGGGCCAGGCTAGGCTTGGCACATGGGAAGCACCAGGTCAGGAGCAAAGTCTGGGCAATCTGTTCCCTTACGATGCTTCTCAAGTAGAGCTGGGAGCTGGGAGTGGGTGGCAGAACAGTCAAGTGTGGGAACATGTCTTGGCTGCAGATACAAGATGTGAGTTATCCACTGTGGTGGGTCAGGCTGTGGGATGGAGAAAGATCACCTGGAACAACCTGGACAGGAAATGTAAGCAAGTACAGGCCTTCTTCCCTGAAGTGCTCCATGGTGAGGCAGCTGGAGAGATGGGAAACCAGTGGAGAAGAAAACAGGACCTGCTGGTAAAGTGGGAGGCATTAGCCTGGGTGCCTCCCTGAAAGTCACTGGATTAAGAAAGTGTTCACCCACAGAACCAAATATTCATGCTCTGAGACTCTCTCAGGGTGTGAAGACCCCTGCAACCCCCAATACAGAGATATTCAAATCAACAGATATGCAAATCACAGCAGAGAAACCCAAGAAACATGAAAAAGCAAGGCAACAGGACTTCTCCAAGAGACCAGAGTACCTCAACTACTAAACACAAAGATACTGAAACAGGTAAAAATGCCAGGAGAACATTCCAAAGTTTCCGGGTAAAAATGATCAGTGACCTGAAAGAGGATACAGAGACAATAGATTCATTGTAGAACGTGGGGCAGGTGCTAGAGGCAGAAGGACTGGATTCTACCGCTACTCTGGGGCTCTAGTCCTTATCTGTCAGCAGGAGCCCACCATCCACCTGGGAATTATCTGAGGACTCAGGAAGATGGAAAAAAGCCTTGCTCTTTGCCTGGACCTGAGAAGAACATCAATAAATAGTGCAAACAGAACGATAGAATTTTGACAGAATTTGTGTTTTACAAAAATATTACATAAAAAACATATTTATGTATCTGAGAAAAATGATAGATTAAAGATACTGAAGATAACTAGAAATCTGTCATAGTATACTTGAGCTCTCATCTGAAGTGGAGCTCTCTGCCTCCATTTCCCTAAGTTGCTGTGATCCAGGCTTACAGTCACATGTGTGAAAACATACCATCCATGAACCCAGAGAAACTGACAGGAGCCCCAAGGTGGGCAAGTTGTGTGGAGCTCAAGACCATGGGTCAATTCAGTGACATGCTATGGGTTTGATGCCCTTGGAAGGAGGCACAGGAGATTATGGGGGTACTAACTAGTTCTAGACTCCCAAAAGCATCTCAGCTGATGAGTCTTACCTGGCATGAATCTTCCTACATTCAAAAGTGCCCGACACTCAATTCTTGCTTAGAAAGCAAGAACTGTTTTCTCTTTCCACATCTATCACACTATTTTCATTGTTACTAGAAGAAATTGTGTGCATCTTATTTTTCTTTTAAGGGAAAATGCTGAATTTAGTTCCTTGACTTTAAAACACATACATACACCAGAGATGATGGGATAGCTAGCTCTTCATGATAAATCCACATTTATTAAAAATGCTGCTAGGGAAAGCACAAAAGACCTCTGATAGCCAAAACAACCCTGAGCACTAAGAGCAATGCCTGGGGGATTACTATACCAGATTTCAAGCTGTATTACAGAGCTATAGTGATAAAAACAACATGGTACTGGCACAAAAATAGACCCATAGACCAATGGAACAAAACTGAAGACCCAAATATGAGTAAATGCAATTTCCATGTTCAGCAAATGGTGCTGGCAAAACTGGATCTCTACTTATAGAAGAATGAAACTAAATGCCGATCTTTCACCCTGCACAAAAGTCAATTCCAAATGGCTCAAAGATCTCAATGTAAAGCCATTAGAAACCAAAGTCTGCTTGGGTCTCCCACAAATAAAAACCTGTGAGATTATCTGAAAGCCAGTTGAATCCTACGGATGGACTTTGGTAATGGGGGTAGAGTGTGAATTTGTCTGCCAATCAAATTCTTCATCTTTCAACTTTCATTCTTATTTACATCATAACACTAAGATGATCATTCTGTAAATAATTTGTTCCATTGTCTCTTTCCCGCTGCAGCACAGAGCACTGAATGGTAGTTTGTGTTTCCTGAGAAAACGTCAACAAATGACTTGTTTAATGGGCCTCTGTGCACCTGGGAACTGCTCTGTCCAGATTAGCATGGAGCTGCACAAGCCACGACTCACCCACACCCTGCATATTGCTAAAATACAAACAAACCCTCTGGTCATTTTTACTTTGTTACTTCATTTGGATATCTGGTAGAAAATTGACAAGAATTTCTTGTTCCACATGGTGCTTAAATCATGCCCTCAACAGCCATAGACAATGCTTTCTGGCTAGTGTGCTACAGATTTTATAGGAATGAGAAAATGAGTAAAGAATCTCACTGAATGTTGGGAGCAGAGGCAGAAGGATCAGGAGAACAAGACCAGGCTTCTCCCCAGTGTGAAACTGACTCAAACAAGAAAGAGAAAGAGGGAAGGAGAGGGAGAGAGAGGAAGAATAAGAAAACAGGAAGACTATGCCAGGCTTAGTGGCACATGCCTATAATACCAATCCTCAGGAGGTAGAGGCAGGTAGATCTCTGTGAATTGGAGGCCAGTATGGTCTACATAGTGAGTTTTAGACCATTCAGGGCTACATAGTGAGACCCTGTCTCAAAAAACAGCAAGAAAAACAAAAAACAGAAAAAGGAGAAGGAGGAGAAAAGAAAAAAGAGGATACTAAGAGAGTTCAAAAAACAAGAATACAAAATGTTATGCCTCTCTCATCTTATTTCTAACTTTTCTGGGTTTTTGAGGCAGGGTCTCTCTCCCTGTATCCCTAATTGGTGCCACCACACCCAGATCTTATTTCTAACCTTTAAAAATTTTTTGATTAAAAATTTTTATTTATTTATGTGTATGTCTGTATGTACACAGTGTGTGGATACTTTCAGAGGCCAGAAGGGGGCACCAGATCCCCTAGAGCTGCAATTACAGGGGGCTGTGAGCTGCCCAACATAGATGCTAGAAACTGAAACTTCAGTCCTTTGCAAGAGAAGCAAGTGCTCTTAACCACTGAGGCATGTCTCCAGCCCCTTATTTCTGCCTTTTTGATATCTATCCTTAAACAGTTCAACAATGTGCAAAGAATTCTTATGCGTTTCAAATGAAAACATATTCATTCTTTTTATATTTGTTTTATATTTCTTTGTAATTTTTAAAGTAAAATATTTAATAATATGGGAGAGACAAGAAAAGACACTTAATATATATTACCAACAATGGCATTTAAAATAAACAATAAGAAGCACCAGCTGGAGTTTGCCCTTCCTTTGCAATAAATGCCGTGCACCAGTCTTCAAACACTGCAATGGTCTTATCTTCATGGAAACCCTAAGAA